CATAAGAGTTGTGCTGATTTTTATAGTCAGAAAACAATATAGCAACTTATGTTGGCCACTTTTTGGTATACACCATGCATTCAACTTTTCCAGGAGATCTTAGAGAATTTCTCGGGTGTTCTGTGACAAATATATACTTCATTTTTGCTCTAAGTAGTCCAGTATCATGTGATAAAAATAGAAGTATTTAAAATTTTGGAGAGTGCAAGGTGTGACTCGGTAAAGGCTAAGCTCTTTCCCGTAACCTCCGTTCAATCCCATCACCCTTTTCAGTGACACATCTGCTTCCACCAATCAACTGTGAACAGGCAAAACTGGATGGACTTTCCATTCCCAATTTAGCTGTTTCGGGATCAATTCTTGATTTTTCTACGGCTGTTCGAAAAAGTGAAGGAGCTGCTGTTAGGGGGGACCAAAGGAGGCGTTGTCATTTTGGTGTCAGACGCTAAGGAATCCGATACTTCTACACCTAAAAAAGGAATGATCTTGTTCAGGGAAATGCAATGCAATAGGTCTGTAGAATGTAAAGAAATATGCCATTGAAGAAGGAAGTGGTTTTAGCTGGCTAAACCTCCTGAGTTTCTCGCCTTTGTGTAGAATTCCTTATGAAATAGTCTTTACTCTCAAAAGTTGATTTTAGACTACCATTATTGAATTTTCTGTACATTGGCCCCACCGAACGTCTCCGGTACATTCGAATATCTGTGTTCCCGGTAATCGTACCTCTAGCGTGTTCGGGTTGAGCTCATTCCAATGCGTGTGAGATTCTGGATAAGTGTTCAAAACATGGCGCATTCGAAATCAGCAGCTCTAAAGGTCTGAATAAGGATAACTTCCTGAAAAAATTCACACACGCAAAGTCACCGGGAATATTTGCCTCCATTTCTGATTGAATATCTTGAGAGCACTGTTTGATTTCCAGTAATGTGTCACATATGTAACGACCTGTCAGTTTTGTGAATACTTCTGAACGTTGGGAAAAAACCCATACCCATCACACGCATCAAGTGGCCCATTTTGTTTTTGTTAGTGCTTTAATCGCTTCCGGACGGGTTTTCAGAGCTGGCTAGCCCTATGTCGGCTTGTTGCCTGACTGACGGTTGTAGACTGGCGGTCATGATGGTGTTAGTTCTTTTAGGTGTGGCGATTCTTCGACGAACTGCCGACACCCGAGCAAGCGGCCGAATGTCGACTATGTCGGAAAAAGATCAAAGCCACCAATAGCAGGTTCTTCTCGTTTCAATCTCATCACGTTTTTATCGACGGGTTTTTCATTTAGCATTTCGAGAATTTTTCAACGGCGCTCGTAATTTGCGATAACTATCGTACGCGGACACACGACATACACACCCACACACACACACACATTCACAAATTGATGCGCTCATGTATGGGACCTGAGGGGGGTCTCGGTTACGGGAAGTGGAACCCATTAGGCAGGCTGTCTCAACATCCTAATAACTCCCTGACTGTATCACCTGAGATGAGAACTCTGACTTTGTATGATTTTGAGGGGCTCATTGGTGGGGATCTGCGGTTAGGAGGCTCGGAACGCTCAGACCAGTCCCTACTACTGCTACGTTTCAGCTGAAAATGATACTATCCCTTCCTCGGCCCTCTTCCTTTGCATAGTAGCAGGGGTGTCGAATTGGTGTTGTGACAGATTCTACATCGATCGAGAAACAAAATGCCATTTTTTCTGCGCAACCTCTTCCTCCGAATCTTGAAATAGAACCCTCTCCCTAAGAACGTCCCGGCTTTCGACTTACCCCTTTGTGAAAGACTAGTCTTACCCGGATTAGATTAGCTCCAAAGGGAAAGTGTTCCCGCTACCAAACAAGACGCTATCAGTCCGGTGGGCGGCTAACTCTATGCATAATCAGAAGTGCTTGGAAAAAGATGGAAAGGACTGCTCAATTATTCGAAAGGTCAAAATTCAACTTATAAAGAAAGGTGCAGGGAGATAAGTTCACTCTACCAAACACGGCCAATGTTTCTAGGAGAATTTGAAATCTGGAGATTCCAGGAGCTTATTCTAAAAAAATTCAGAGTGATGAACTGCTTGATTACTAACATCGCCATTTGAGTAGCTGATTGATTAAGTGGAAGAAGATACGAATAGTCGATTTCTAATCATCTTTTGTGACGTTTTTTTCTGAAATCTCAGCCAGTTCTGGATAAAAGAACTCAAAGGCGTCATAATGAAATCCAGTTTTCGTGTTTCGCCAAGCCTTTGATCTTTGTAATCCGATTTCCTTTCTAACATATACAATTTTTCAATACTGAAAATTTCTTATTTCTCAGTAAGAATGATTCCTTACACATGAAAAAGTTGTTTTTTGAAACGACCCTCTATATTTTTTTAAAAATAATTTGACTTACAGATATGACAATTCTTGCGGATTTCAGTTGGTTTGAGTTCTCTGAACCATCTGAAACTACCGTTTTTCCTCAACTTTATGTATTTATCACCGATGCAGAAACTAAAGACATTACGATTGGCAAGCAAGTAGCTACTTTTGAATTCATTCCCTAGAATTACGTCAGCCGTTTGTATTTCTCTATTATGTTCATTCCCACATAAAGAACTTCCGTGGAAAACCCTAGAAGCAAGGGCTTTTCAAACGGTAAAGATATCAAAATTAGGTGAAAATGTAGTGGGGGGCCCACCCATCCAAAGGTCAGCATATCAAGAAATGAACTCAGTCTTACGTGTTAATCCTTGATATATTAGCACTTCAGAGCGAAGGGGATTATAGGCCCTGGCCGTCTGTGCTCTTTTACCGGTTTTAGCCTAGGAATGTAGTTTTTTAACTAAGTCGGGGTAGAGTAGTAGCATCTGGGTGGGTGGGATGATTATTTCGAGCGAAAAGAAAGAAAAAAAGAAAGGAACTTGCCCACCGCGGTGTTTCTTCCTTCCTTATGCTTAGCTAAAAACTGGAATGTTCTTGAGGTAACAGGGCTTAACACATTTCATTGAGTTCATTCCTTGTTATACTAACATTATGATAGGTGCCATCCCCCCCCCCCCCAAACTACATTTTCACCCAAAATTATGCTCTTTGATAGAAAAAAATATTAGGGAAGTCTGGCTATCCCTTCATCTTGCTTGAAAGAACAATTGTTTTTGAGGTTTTTTGTAAGTCTTTGAAAATGTTCTTCAAATCTCTCATTGCTCAGTATGGTTCCAAAAGAATGAATTATTTCCCTAAAAAATCCTTTTATGGATAGTAAGTTGTAGTTGTTTGACGTTGACTTTCATAAGATTATCAAAGATGTCTCGAACTCCAAACAGGCATATCCCAGAGTGGCATACCATATTTGTAAAAGTCCCCATTTGAAACACTGCGGCGTAAGCAGCTCACTATACGATATTCCGGTGCCCCGTCGTCATCACCTCTCCCAAAGACCAAAGGTGTAAGCCACACCACTCGGAAAGGCTTCCCGACGTACTTACGCTATAGCATTATGGAATTTTCCCTCCCTGGTTTGCATTTTCCATACGATACAGTCTTGTTGATCCGTTGGATGTGGTTATAGGCCGTAAATATACAAATTATTTATATCTCAAAAAACGTGAAGAGCCGTGGAAGGGGAAACCCCTAATCAGTCAAGTGGAACGTATAGGATTTTGAAATTCAGCTACAGTAGAAGGGTTGTTTTCCCGGGTTCGTTCACGGGATCATCGACTATTCCACGATACACTCAAACAACCCAACAACACCGTCGACGGCGCTTCGTCTACTATTCTTGAGACCCCTTTTGTGAGCAGCCGAGCACGAGATTCGAGCAGCCGTCAACTGATCTGTCACAACTCGGCTGTTTTCAGCCATGCCAGCATAACAACCTTGGTAGTCTGGGAGGAAAGCTAAGTTCGAAAACTTGGGACAATAGAGGAGTCTCTGCTACTCTATATGCCCTCCTTTTCTGTTATACTAGATTGTATGGAAAAATACATCTGACAATTCCGGATCCCCCCGAGCGGGCCTTTCAATAGGTGGATATCGTCCGGCAGTGGCAAGGGTGATCAGTAGTGAGGCCTACAGGGTCAGATTCAGGTCTCAAGCATGTCCTTACACTAATGACCTGCTTTAACATAAATGGAAGACCTTTTCTCACATAGATTCATTAGTAAAGAATGACCAAGGCAGCTTATAGTACCTTACTTACTGTATTTTTGTGGGATGAGTGTTTTGACCGTATCTCCCAATGAAGCAGACCCAACTACCTTACAAAGTCCCTGTAAAAAGGCCCATTACAACTGCAGATTCGCACGCTTTGAGCTACCCTTCGCCGAACTCGATCACGTTACCATACACACAGAACTGCGCCCTAGACCACTGAGTCTTGTCTGTGGTTACTGTAGGAAAAATAGTGTGAGTGCCCAATATTTGGCCAAATTCCAAAGGCTGTTTTCAGCACGACGGGTATGATACGACATCTGCGTAGTTGTCATGTACAAGAATACCAGCAAGTGCAGGAGGCTCGACAATCGACATTAATCCTAAAAATGGGTGAGTTAACTGGTAGTACAGTAATTACAGTACTTATGTGGAGCTTGAGGATATTTAATTGGTTGTATAACGAAAGGACTCAGTCTTAGCCAGTTTGACTAATGATCATGATGAGCAGAAAAGATGAAAGTGCCATCATTTCCTACCCAAATCACTTTTTCAATCACCGCACGCTCAGCAATCTCTAATCTGAACGGTTCAGTTTCTTGCCAAATGTCGGCGCTGTTGGCATTCCCGTTTCTTCGTCATCGTACTTGCAAGAACCCTGCTTGGCGCAGCCGGCCACTGCATGGCTAGCTGCTTGTGGACTGCGGGCGACTACCGTGTCCAGTGTTGCTAACGGGTTTCAAGCTATCTTCGATGTCGACGACGCCATCGACGTCCATATGTTGCGTAATGTAAAGGCGCGGTTAGTTCTCTCGTGGGTCTGTTGCGAGTTCAGTTGCATACACGCGCACCCGTGCGACCATTTCGTCCAATCTGGAAGTGAAGAAGAAGAAGAAGCAGCAGCAGCAGCAGCAGTTTCTATGGCCGCCGCTGACGATGGCCGGCTCTCAGACTATCCTAAATGGTCTCGAACGACCGGTTCGACCGCCACAACCACCAACATCACATCTCGTTGAACAAAGACCGCGATGCGCACGTAGGCGCTTGTTTGAAAGAGAGATGCATATCGTTGTGAGAATTTTTAGATGAAAAAACTGGCTTTCCGAAGAAAAAGAGTTGTTTAATAGAACTTCCAAAGGAAAAGCTCTTGAGAACCTCCCGCATAAAAAAACTATCAGAAGCCGTAGTGTTTTCGAAGGCAATGGACGGGCATGTACTGTAAGGCATAAAAAGTGATCAGGGTCAAAACGTTGGAATTAATTTTGGGGTTGAATTGCCAAGTCCTAAGATGCGCTCATTCGTGCAGAGAAAGCAATACAATAGAGGTCCCACTTTTTCATTTTTCAGGCAGGTTTGGTACCAACCATCCCATCCCAGGAAGATGAGAGGCTTTGTAGGTTCAAGCGGGTGTCAACCTCGCGAACCTCCTCGTGAAAGTGGTAAGTTAGTGGCGCTTCTCGGTAAAACCCCACCTCCGCTCTGTTCACACGTCATAAGAGGAGTTCCGGCGGTGGCTGCACATTGCTTGGTCTTAGTTTCCGAGGGATGATGCAGTTTCGATTGGGTACATCCTTGAACCCCAAACCACTTAACGGTCACCCTACCGCCACCATCCGATTCAAACTCGACAATTATTTCAAACTGAAATAATGATCGTGATCGTCCCGGCTGGAGAACATCGTTGGACGACCTCACACTATCAGTTAACGGAAACCGGCTGCTCAATGAAGAACGCAGCTGTTCCGTTGCCGTATTCTTCGACAGTAATCGCGGCGCCTGATGACTTTCAGGCAACAGGTAACGCCAGCTGGCTGACACACGTCCATAAGTCCAGTAAACGTGCGTTCAAACTGGTGCCGAACCTTTCAAATAATGGCGAAAAAACGATGGCTTGGGAAGGTTCAGAGTTTTCTGTTAGTCTGGCTAAACCTCAAAGCTAACAAGCACGTCACCTAGCAGCACTGCAATAGGTTAATGAGTAAATTTCGATTTGATATCTTCTCACTCCGATTTCAGAAGAAAAGGCAAGAGCACAACTTTTACGCGAGATGAACACCCAGGTAGCATCAACAATGGTTGCCCATATTGCCAAGAAGACATCGCCAGAGCCGCAGAAAAGCCCATCCGGTATGTCTGACAACCATTAACATCATCTTACACCATGGTCTCCATTCCTAGCCTCTTCATCGGCCAGCGACACGGCATCATCTGTAGCATCATCATTATTCGGACCTGTTCTACCTCCCCCTCCGCCACTTTCTATTGCACCAGCCGGCCTTCCTGCACCCAAACCGGTGAAAATTTTTGCACAACCAATGGCCATCAAACAAGATGCCACAGAGGTTTGTTTGAGGCCAGAGGGAAGCTACAAGCTCTCCTAAAATCCATGAATGTAAAGAATCTTGTGTTTTTTCGACTATTCTCCTTTAGGTCGAAGATGATGTGAACGAGCCGACAGATCTCAGCGCCAAGACGTCGGCTTTTGCAGCTTTGGGACAGAAAAAACGTTCAGACGAGGTCGAAAATGAGATAGACCAGAAACCTCCATCTACACCACGACATTTCACGTTGCGTAATGTTGATGAGAGGAAAATCAACGCACAGGTAAGTTGTGGGGACTCCCTTCAGGAGGAATCCCTCACAGAGACATCATCTACTTGTTTTGTTCATAAACAAATATTATTTATTTGTTCGAGATATAAATAATTTTTTTCTAGTTATTTTCTGGATTTCACTCGGTTGATCCCACTCAATCTGAACTTTCTATCGTGTTGGGTAAAATTCGAACAGCGTCTCGGCCGATGTAGAGGGTGATAGAGGCGCGCGCGTGCGGGTGATGGCAGATGTTCGACAAGGACCGCTGATGGAAGAGGCAGCCGGCTGCCGACTGTCCTCTTTTTCTCGGGCATTTTCCCCTATTGCCTCAGTCAGTCCTCAACACAAGCGCAGGTGCTTCTGCCGGGACATAGACAAAACGCGCAGCCGCTCTGCCCGACGACCGTTGGAATTCGTCGAGGCGAGACCATCCGCCACGTGTTGGCTTTTCAAATTAGAGGGACCAGTTGCTGAAGTTGGAATGTGTATGTTTTCAATTTGCTTATGCAGGGGTTCGTTTAGAGCCACCACCGAAGGAGCTCCCATTACTGAGTTCTTGGCATTGGGGACCTCTTAAAAGATTCGATTGTCCACTAGAGGAGAATTTGAGACTGTTGGGGCGCCCGGATCGAATGGGCTCAGTTGCAGGCGTGAATGAAAAAAAATCATTCGAATCGCACTACTCAGACCCTTTTCTACCCTTTCAAGCGGTGATGTCTTCAAACAGCTCTGAGATGAGGAGAGTCTTGTTGGAACGGAAGCTCCCATTGTAACTCCAATACTTTTTTTCGGGCGATGGCCATCCCTTGAGGCTTCGTAAGCTGGATTATTCTGTATTCGGGCTGTTTGGGCTGCTTCTTTTGAAAAAAAAATCGCTTTGTGTAGTGTCACGTATGCGAATTTTATGGGGCACTTAGAGGAATCCTGCTCGAACAAAAGGAACGGAGACTGGAATCCAATGATCTCTTCAACAGCAAGGTTTGTGGTGTTGATCGAAGTTGGATTTTTACGACAGGGCTTCGGGAGGAGGTGGCAAACTCCGTGGACGTGTGCACAATCCCCATCTCTTTCAGGGACCACAAGAGCTTTCAGGTTTACGGATCTCCTGTCCTACTTCACTAAGCATAGAGGGATATCTGAACTTCAACGAATTTCCAGCAGAAAATCAAAGAAGATAAGGACAATTTATGGTCTTGGCGAGACAAAACAGTTGAATCATCGTTGGTCAACATGGACAGGGAAGCCTAGTTTAGCGCTCTGCTTCTATGGATAGCTTGAAATTGGTGGTGGCGACGGCGGCGTTGCAATGAACCGGTCGTACACCTCACGGTGATCCCGCTCGCACCTCAATTATACGGTAATTGACCATTGACGTTGACGCACACCATCAGAAGCGGGAGCCGTGCCCAGCAAGCAGCGATCTGGAATGTCCGCACGAAAAAGCTCGTTCAATTGGCTATCTTTAGCTTGACATAGACATTCATGAATGGCACAGGATTGACCAAAATAACACTTGTTTACTTTACATATTCCTAAACAAGCATCAGCCTCAATAGTTCGGTTCTACTACTGCCATGATCTGCCTACCGTATCCGTGGCGCAACGTTTCCTTTAGAGGCTGTGTACACCGATGGGCCGATGAACTGGTCCAGTTCATGGTCACTTCAGCTAGCTAGCATCGGATATTGTTGTTGCCGTGTCTTTGCAACTCATGACGATCTGCAACTGGTTTGCTGTCCACTGGCTGGTAGTGTCTGTCGCCGTTCACACGCCGTCGTCGTCGTCGATCGCCACGACCAGGAAACTGGCCGGTAGGACAACGCAAGAAAAAGAGCAACGTCAAAGATAGAAGAACATGGGGACACGTTCTTTCTTTTGAGACTGTGTGTGTGACGACGGCCGATGGTTTAAAGGTGGACGGCTATGGCAACCGGATTCTGACCGATGAATGACGCATCTCAGAAAGCCGCCTCGAGGAAGCGACTTCAATTCTACGAATAGGGACTTTACAGAAGGAACGGCTATACGAAAGGATGATTACATAAGGAATGCTTTCAGTATCAGTGAATGTTCCAATAGGACCAAATGGGCCCTATCGAAATTTGATAAATAGTTTTCATAGGCCCTTAGAAGCTTTTGCGATTTAAAGAATTTACCTATTTCGGAGAATAGTGATCAACTGAAAATAACCTCATGAAAATTCTGTTGAGGAGTTATTTTAGCAACCTTCTAATCATATGGAATGCATCGATTGTTGAAAAGCTATTAACAAGATCCGACTATAAGCTTGATTTTGAAGAAAAAAAATTCAAAAACTTTTGCAAAACCTTCATAGAGCCAGTTAGCGTTTTTGTTTGCCTCCACAAAGATGCCTGAATTGGTATTGGCCCGACGTCTCACTCCAAAAAAAAGTCATTTTGAGCTCCAAATTTTAGCATTGCTATGGTGGAAATTAAGTCGAGCCACAGACTTCGCCCATTCTCAATGCAGGATGCGCCACGTATTTGGACGGGATGCATGAAAGGGGAATCTTCAGTAAGCTTGGAAGACTTAAACATGGCGCAATCTCCGGCTGATCTCCTTTCTCTGCAATTTTACTTTGTTTTTTATTCGGGAAGGGTGTCGCTGAAGAAGATGGAATATAACTACCAAGGATTCACGAACGATGTCGAACAATCGCAGCATAGCGATCGGGGCAAAGGCCTCGGGAGGCCCGACCAAATTATGGCCTATGATGGTCGGCAGGGCTTATGTTCAATCTGTTCATGGTGTGCGGTGATTCTCGTACTGTTGCAGGGTTAGTTGGCATGCTTGCCTTCTCCTCAGGTGGTTGTACTCTCCTATAAATATCTCATATGAAGCATCCGGTAATTTAGGAAGTCAAACCATTGGCGAAAAGGAAATCGAATTCTGACACAACATCCCACTGATCTCCGAAGTGGAATGGTCAGATCTGA